TCCTTTCCTGTGTTGGCAAAATATTAGAAAATGGCAGGCATCAATAAAGATGGTAGGATCCCCAAGTATATCAATGGAATTGGGTTAAACGTAGTGCTATAGCTGAAGCAGTTCAACCTATACCCGCCCTCATCATGTACCGACGCTAGTCGGTTACAGAGTTACGTAAACTGCCTGAGAGAAGATCCATGGAGCTGGAGAAGACTGCGATCGTTAAAGAGCCTGGGTCTACCCAGGATGTCGTCTGAAAGCTTTTGAAGCCCGAGATATCGCTTAGCGATCCAGGTAAAGGTATTACCGGGCCCAGGTAGTCCCACGATGTGGCAATCTCTCAGTACAACAGTATCAGTATCAGTACATATATATGTATATTCTAAAACAAATACACAAAAATAGTTAACAAATCATGGTTTTTACTTTAGTTTTATTTTTGTGAATTTTGTGCTTTTTTTCTGTAGCACTAAAATAATTTTCAGTATTTACTCTAAGCCAAATCTTTTCGAATCAATGTGGCGTGTTGATTGAACTTAATTAAACATAGCTGCAGAAAAGCAGTTTACGTCAATTAAAAGTGACACGCAAATCCTATAATATCATTTTTCACTTGAAAAATTAATCAACCACTGAATTTTAACTCAGCTTTCCGTTATTTTATTTACTACATCGTATCGCAGGTGGTCGACAATTCGGCCGTGGTTTGTTTGTATAAAATTACTACGAATACCTGCCGCTTTTCCCCTATATTCCTAGATCCAAATTACAATGCATAAACATAAGCTGATCCAGAGATGAACACCTTTTTTATTTCTACATACAAATCTCCAATTTATGAACCACGTATCTAAATTTTAGGAAAAGTTTTAGTTAAAAAAAAATTATTTATCAGATTCTGATTAATCAGACGATGAGTAATTATTGTAAACAATTTACATCTCAGCAACTTTGGTCATTTCTTGCATTTAAAGAAAATGCAATTTTTTTGATATTATAACAGAAAATTTTTCTTATTAATGAAAACAAAATATCAAGCGAGCACGTGTTAGCAAACTATCCCAGCTTATGTATTATATGTATAGCTTTCTTCTTCTATCTTCTATATTCTTAATCAAAGTACCCTAGTATTATACAAATATGTACATTAGGGTCCATTACCAAAAAAAAAAAAATTGCGATTTTTTCACCGGAATCATGAAATGTATTATATTTCAAGACTTCCGCCAAATATTGAGATTTACGTGAAACTATCTAAAAAATATCAGGATTTTTTTTCGTTGATAAAAAAAAAAAATTGGTATGCAGACATTTTAAGCTTAAACTCTTCTATGATCTGAGGTAATTTTTTGGAAAAATTATCTTAAATAATTAAATTTATTTATAAAAAAAAACTAGATTTTTGGAGGTATTTTCAAATGGGTCCAAGTCACGTAAACCTTAATATTTTTCTTAAATATTTCGGCGAAAGTCTTTAAATATAACATTTTTTACAATTCCGTTGGAAAAAGGGTACTGATTTTATTTTATTTACTTTTTTGTATGGAGAGTGATGCAGCCTAATGTACATACGCGAGGTAATTTACGCAAGATAATTTGTTTAATAGAATTGTATGCCTTTAAAAAGTATCTAGAGATTATATAGATTTGATAGCCATCTTGTAAAGCCGCAACGAGAATAGGAATCGTTGGAAGCCGACGTTCCATTCGTGAGTTCAGGATCCGAGTTCCCAGGCAGCGGAATTTTTTTCTTTTTACAGCCTTTTATTTTTGATTTAATTTTGTTTCGATTTTTAGAATTTTTTGTTTTAAAAAGAAAAACAATTTTTTAAATTTAAATTTAAATAAAATTTTTGGAACTTAATACAATTTTCTCTTTTAAATCAATTAAAATTTTTAAATTTAATTTTCTGTTAATTGTTAGTCTATTTATTGTTTTAAGGTTTTTATTCATTTTAATTTTTTCATTTTATTTTGTGTTTAGAAGCTTATACTTTTTTCTTCTTTTAAATTAAATTCTCTCTTATCTAATTTAGTTTTTTTCCTTTTTTAGGTTCTTTTGCTTTAAAAAGATTTTTTTGTAGTTTCATTTAATTACGCATTTAGCAACTTATTTTTTCAATATGTTTTCCTCTTTTAACTTAATTTTCTTTTAACTTTTAGATTTTAAAAATAAATTTTTTTTTAATTTCACTAATTTTCCAGAAATTTATTTTTTTCACTTTCTTTTGGTTTCTAGATTTAAATTTAATTTAATTTTTAGAAAACTTGTTGCTAAAAGACAAACAGAATAACGCTAAGTCCTACTCGTTAGCATATCTTTCAACTCGGTTTTCGGAAGACAGAAAAGATCTTTCAAGATAGTTGCCAGAGTTGACAATTGTCTTAAGAAAGACTTTTGTCTTTGACAGTTGCCAGGATTAGCCTGTTTATTTACCAACTTTTGGGCCAAACATCCCCTTTTCGTCCACTTTGCAATACAAGTCGGACGGCGGCAATGCCCAGAGGGCGCTAGTTAGCCTGAGTGAAGGACGCTCCGCATATGGGAACTGTCTATGCTCTAGTAAGGATAAGCCAAACATTTTAGACTCGTATCATCAAATCAGTGTTCTTAAAATGTTTTCCGTAGTGTTCGTTAAAAGTGCGAGTCTCCTCTGAAGCCTTTTTCCGTTTTTTATTGGGATCGGTTTTTGCATGGAGGTCACAAACCCTAGATTCGGGTACATACTATGTATGTATTTATGTATGTTCCATCCTTAACTCGATAAAACTTTCTACTACCTTTTCATTATTTTGTACTTTGTTCATAAGTACTCACTCATTCGTGTAACAAAAAAAAAAGGAGATCCCTACCTCGTTCCATAATTGAGCACAAACAACGGGTGTATAGGAGTCCCACCAACAAGTAGAGAGCAATAAACTGAATGTACGGCGCATAATAGCGAAAACAGAAATTTGCAAAGCAAACAGTAAATAAAGTCAAATGCAGCAGTGTCAGAAAGGGGGAAATGCAAGCAGTATACGTTAAAGGCACATACCGTTTAGTGTTGCCAACGTAAGAATAAATTATTAGAATACACAGCTGACAGTTCACACACGAAATGCTAGTGGTGGTGATGTTCTCTTGAATGTGTGTTATAACTTTTTTTTTAGTATGAGTTTGTTTTTGGTTTTTGTTTAGTAATCGGCGCTGGCAACAACTAGGCAGCCGCTATGCTCCCGAGTGCACTCACGTAGAATCCAACTCACAAATACACTCAAAACATTGTAATGCATACGGAAATTTAATGCTGAGAAAACACCACCCCAATGAAGCGGCACTCAGCGTGGAAAGTATGAGCCACTACCCTGCAATGAAAAGCCAAACGAGTCAGTAAAAATGCCAGTTCATTAACTGGTATATTCAAAGGCGACATCTCCCCATATTAATTTCCAGATCCAAAAGTAGATAAAATGCAATTATTTGTTGTTTTTTTTTCACTAATGACGGCAGCGGCTTCGCGTGAAGACCGTTGCTTTTGGCTCTGAGATTGCAGGTTCGAACCTTATTGGAGGTGATTAAGGTTTTTGCTTTTTTTGTTTTTTTTTTTGCTTTGTTTTTGTTTTTTTTTTTCTTTTTTGGCTTTTGACAATTAAACAGCAGATGTCACTGATCGCATAATTTGTTCGCAATTGTCGAACTGTTAGGACATTGCTTTAGCTCATACTAGTTAGTGAACTGGTATTTTTGCTGAGTGGTTTGGCTTCTAACTGCAGGGCATTAGCTTTCCCTACAGGGCTACATGGTACTAAAAACGTAGGCTAAGTGCGCGCCATTGTGAGTGTGTTTTCAGAGAGCGGATGTGTGCAAGTTGGTGAGCGGCGCAAAGTAAAACAAACAAATACAGAAAATTATAGTATGTATTTAATTTTTTTCTTTTATTAATATTTTTATTTTCCCTTTTATTATTTTATTGACACTCGCTTTGTTGTTGCTGCTATTGTTTTTGCGCTGATAACCAACACGAGTTGCTGTCATCATTAGCCGTGTAGAAACGCATTTGTTGCTTCGCTGCTTTACTAAATTTTTTTTGCTTTTTTTTTGCTTTTTTTTTTTTCTTTTACTTTAGTTTTTTCTTGCTCTGGTGATTTTACTCAACGTTTTTTTCATATTTTTGCTTTTGTTATTGCATTTGTTTTTGTACTGTGTTGACTGATGACTGCTGCCTTTTGTACTGGGTCCAATTTGGTTTTCGAATTAGTCGCGATCGCACCGCAAAGGTGGAAAGAACATTTTTGGTATTGGAATATTTGGAAGGCGTAGAAATCTAATAAATAAACTGCTGCTGCTGCGACTGCCAGAGTTTGAGAGCGCAGGCAAAGGCGTTAAGTGGTGTGGAACTGCCGGTCAAAGTGTTAATGTCTTCTTTTTTTTACATACTTCGTGGGTTTTCACTGAAAGAGACTCGACAAGCTGTGGGGGGAAATCGAGTGAAACGCGAACTTGAGTGAAGTACTAAATGACATGAAAAGTGAAAATTGTTGAATAAAAATCGCAGTTGAGAAATGCCTTATATTTTTTTAAATTTTATTTATATTAAAGAAAATATCAAGTGATTAATGAAACAAATAAGACGTAAATAAAAATTGATCACTCCTAACGAGCAAACAAGCGCCTTGTAAGAAGATTAAAAACTTGTAAAGCAACTTGTACGAAGTGCGCGCCCGTGTGTGTATGTGTGTGTGTATGTGCGTTATATGGAAATGTACTATGTGGCTATGTACAACGCAAAGTGCTAGAAACTAGAACCTGTATGTGCCTATTTTCCAAAACAAAAAAAATTCTTACGGCTTTTAATGCTTTTCTCAACTTTGTTTGATATTTTTCGCTTATTTTTATGAAAGAATTCTATGAAACTTTGCATTGAACGACGAGGCTGAATTTGAAGAGAAAAAAAAAGAAATAACAAAAACACAAACAAAATGGTTGAACAAGATAGTGTCACTAAAAATCTACTCCACGACAATAGGCATGGCGGCGCTGGTGGTGGAGTGGTCATTGTGCCAGCTGGCGGCAGCAGTCCACAAAGCAGCAGCGGCGGCGGCAATGTTGCGGCCACTGTTGCTCCCGTGAGCATCCTAAAGGCGCAAATTGTGCCGGCACAGCCGAAAACATTGCAACACTTGCCCAAACGTCCGGCGGTCGACTTGGCATTCCACGATCTCACATATCGCGTGAAGGAGGGCAATCGCAGCAGTAAGTACTAGAATAGTTAGAAATAAAAAAGAAATAAAATATGGGGCGTAGAAAAGTTTGGAGATTATAAGGCTTAAATCTAGGAAATATAGGGATACGGTTTAGCTGTTAAAAAATTGCGGGTCGGTAGAACTTTTAATGTTGGTAACAATAGGGTACCTAAATGTTAATGCCCAAAAAGAGGAAACTATGAAGATACTAACGTATAAACTTCAACTTAAAAAAAAAAAATTGTAGATACGCCGGACTATGACGCCAAGGTGGAAAAAATTTAAATATGTATGTATATGAAAACTTAAAAAATTTTTTTTTATGCTTTTTCATTAGCTAATTGTTAAATTTCTCTACAAGAAAAATCGGAAAATTAGTTACCAACATTGTTAATAGTGGATGTTTCTGAACAATTTTTATGAAAGTTTCATTTATGTGTAGTTAAGAATTTAATGTGCTACCAAAATATCTCAAGAAGAAAATTTTTTCTCGAATAGTTAAAACATTTTTAATATGGGTCTTCACACCGAAGCTTGGTACTCGGTAATATTTTCTAATGTTTTTTGTTTGCGCAAAATAGTGTTACACAAACAAAATACATGGGAAAAAATTAGCGAACACCGAGTTACCGAGTACCGAGCTCGGTGTGAAGACCCTTATCTAGTTTAGCCTAGGGTTTGGCCGGTAACATATGTATACACTAGAGTGTTCGATTATTCGCCTTTTTCAAAACCGGTTATCGAGTTATTCGAAAAATTGCAATTTGAAAAAACCGCTTCGCGATTTTGAAATCAAGAAAAAACTGGATAAACCTTAAAGTTTTCATACAGAGAAAATGCTTATGTTGGTATGAAATCATGACCAAAAATTGCAATAAAACTATTAACAGCAGTAATGATAGCTTTTATTTAGAAAAGAGCAAAGCGAAAAAATTACAAAGGGTTTTTTATATCAAAAATAAAACAAATAAAAATCCGTGAAAAATTCAGGTTTGGTCTTATTTTAATATTATTTTAATACTTTATTGCATTTTGACTGACTTTTTTCGGATTTAAATAGTGCTCTTGCTGCTGTTGCCGAGTGCTTAGAAGTACCTTCTTCCATTCGGAAGGCCCATGGTTCAATTGTTGGTCCCAGCAACATCAAAATGTTATTTTCAAATAGCGGTCGCCCGTCCGCAGACAATGACAAACCTCCGAGTGAACTTCTGCCTTAAAAAAGTTTCTTCGGAGGTCGATGAAAAGCATTTTTTCTTACGAGGAGGGAGCATCAAAAGCCAAACACCGTCGGTGTGGGACTTTAAGCCAAACTAAACCTCATGCCGTCCAAATACCGTTCATCTCGATACTGCCGTAAAATATTCCGTCGGTAGGTGGTTTCAGCACTAAGCCCTAAGTCCGTTACAGTTCGGATGCTGTCCGTCTAAAAGTCGCATCTATTCAAAACAGTCATGTATTGCAAACGACCTACCCCAGTCAGTCACTGGGTAGCTCATTAATGTAACTGAACTAGGAAGATAGACAATCTAAATATGTGGACTTCAACTGTGGCGTTCAAGTGCTATTCCCGTTCAGAAGAAAATGAAGAACAGACCGAGTAGGTAATGGAGAAGCCATATTTCTATACTCCGAAAGATCCAAGATGGATTACTTTGTAGAAACCAAAGTCTACTCTGAAATGCTCGGTGTTAATCTATCTCTACGATTGGAAAATAATACAATCATCATTCATGTCCAGGCCTGTTAAGCCTTAGGTAATAACGTCAGGCAAACAAACAAAGCGTCAATATATTCGGGTGCTATTGCAAATAGCATCTTCGGTTACCAAATCTAAGTTTGTCATAGAATGCAAAATGACAGAGTCTGCGAACTCATATCACGTTTGAGCGAAATCACTTAGCCATCTTCTTAAGAGAGGTGCCGCATTCCGCGGCTACATGGAGCTCGTCGACAAGTTGATAGTAACTTACGCGGTCCGATGGCCTCCGAAGAAGTTTCTCTATGAGGAGCGCTTAGCATCTCTGACTGTGTCGTGACAATGTTGTCTACATCACTAAATTGTACCATATATGCACGTCCTGTGCTTACCTTTGTCGGTGGCATAGACCAGTCTATATCCTTCAATATTCAATAAACAAGCCCGATTTTTATCGGCAATCGAAATGGTTTTGAAAGGGCTTTGTTCCTAAACAACATGTGAGAATTAGGTGCATAACTGAAATGTGTATCACAATATGGCTGCCAGCCTAAGTTTGAAAATTTAGAATATTTTTGTGGTGTTTGAAGAGGGTTTCCGCCTGTTTAAAAACTAAATTCAATTAAAGTTATTTAACACATAATTTAACTGAATTACTGTAATATGGGTACCAATCGGAAATAGTTTTGAAAAGGTGTAATTTCTAAACTACATGTAGGAGGGTTGCCAACTGTTAAAAAAATAATAATCAAATTCCACTTGAACTAAGGGCATGTTGGCATATGTATTATGGGTATCAAACGGAAGATGTTTAAGAAGGTTTTAGTTTGAACATATTTTTGGGAGAGGTAAAAAAAAAGACAAATGTGGAAATTTTCCCCTTTTTTTAGCTGAGCCAAATGCAACACGTAATGTAACAAAATATCTCTTATCAGTTCAAAGCAAGTAAGCCACGTGACTGTATTAATATTTCTTCTACCCAGTCTAGAATTAATTACTAAACTAAATAGAACTCGAACTACATGCCTGCATACATATAAGTTTCAAACTAATACAAACTATGCTTCTAAACGCTAATCGCTTTAGAAAATTATTAATATGTATTTGCACATTTATAGCTCTCTATTTTTTATATACTTAGAAGAGGTTCATGAACCACTTCAACCTCCAAACAACCTTCCTGATACAAACAACACTTCGAATGCAAACCGGACATTAATTAAATGTTTGCTTAATTATACCAAAGTATTATTGAAAAATATTCTTTCAATACTAAATATAAACAAGGTATTATACCCTATTTAATTTTGCTATTCTTGAAAAATAATGCAAATAAAGACTAAAGATTACATATGTATATATGTACATACATACATACGTATTAGTGCAAATTATACTGTTAAAATAAATATGTCTGTATACACATATGCCTGCGATCGATTTATGAAAGTAATAAAAAATATTTAAATATTCATTTAATAAATATTTGCTGTGTCTAATGCAAAAATACATACATACATATGTATGTATGTATGTATGTATGTACTATTAGTAATCTAAGTGCCGATGATAAAGCAAATGTCATGGGGTTCAATATTGAGCAGATAATTTAAAATTTCCGCATTTGGAATGTGAGTTCAAGTGTTAAAATTGGCTTGAGGATACGATTGTTTTTCCTACATCAAATGCATATATGCACTTGACATAACTACATATGCAAATATCTACATACATACATATGTTAACGACGGTGCTTAGGTATGAAATTCAGCAAGGTTCGATTTACATATGTAGTTTTTACAAAATTGCTAGAAACGAAATGTATTCATTGCATTTGCAGCGAAAGTTTATGTACCTACATACTTTTTATAAATTTTACTACTTTTTAGTCATAAAATGCGAACCAAGTGCACAAAAATAATAAGCATAAGACAGAAAAATTTTTGTATATGTGACACGTAAAGTTAAAAGGGACCTACGGTCAGAAAAATTCGGTTTTCACTTTTTTATCGACTCTTTTAATAAACGGGCCGTTCTTTCCAATGCAAGCTTTCTAGCTGCGTTAGTTTCTTCACAATTTCACTTCAAAGTTAGGTACTTTCACAAAAAAATTCACAAAAAAATTCAAATCTGGCAAACTATTCTGAAATTAATTAAATTCGCTTGAAACTCGTTACTCGGGGGTTTTCGGGGTCGCTGATTACGAAGCCGATGTTAGTTTTTCAAAATTCGGTGTCAACGACATTTTTGAGTTTCACATGAATCCGAACAAATTTTAAATTTTTTCCGCCATATTGGATCCGCCATTCTGAATTTTTAAAAACGAACATCGGATTCGTAATCAGCGACACCAAAAACCCCCGAGTAACGAGTTTCATGCGATTCCGATCAATTTTTTAAAAAGTCATCCGCCATATTAGATCCGCCTATTTGAATTTTGGAAAACTAACATCGGATTCATAATCACCGGCCCCGAAAACCCCCGAGTAACGAGTTTCAATCCATTAAAACGTTCAGAAGCATCAAAATCACCTTGGTAAACTTCAAAGTCGTTTTTCTCGAGATCTTTTTTTCTGAGCCTAGGTCCCTTTTAACTTTACGCTGTGTATATTTTAAATGCTCATAATCGATAAGATTTGCATACATTCTTTATTTCTGAAGTTCTAGTATACATTTATACAAAAACATTAGGATGACACGTAAAAAAGCTCTGCTGCTATCGATTTTTTTTTTTTTTTTGAAGTCACTTTTCTTTTCATTTTTAGACTTAGTTGTTTAAAACGAAATATGTTTTTATTTTACTATTACTACAACAAAAGACATAAACCCTGCAAACCAAAGTTCCCGAAATCTTAAGGAAATCGTTAGGAGTATCTCATTTCTGTAACGATTTTTTTACGAATTTTCAAAGAAAATTATATGAAGTGGTTGACACGAACTCGTAAAGAAATTTCTATACGAAAAATATAGAAAATTCTGGAAAAATTCTGAAAGATATTCTTCACATAGCACCATTATTTTCGTTGCTTCATAGATTTTCTTCCGAAATTTCGTAAAAGAATGGAAGTGTGCGTAATTTATTTCATTTTAGAAAATTCGGCAAAAAATCGAATTAAATCTTAACGAATTCTTCAAAATTTCTTTACAATGCAGAATACTCTGAAAAAATGGTTTGCAGGGACACCTCTATTAGACGGACATCTCCCTTGGGCGGACATTTTTTCCTATACCAAGTTTTAAGTATAAATTTCGGAACAAATGACTCTCTCTTAAGCGGACACTCTCTTGGCCGGACGCGGACAGTTATTTTGCAT